AGAGCGTCTGGAGCGTCTGAGGGGAGGTCTTCACCACGTTCTTCACCTGAACACACTGAGTGGCCATTCCGTCTCCCACATCTCCCACACGCTTCACCTCCGCTGCACAGATCAAACGTGTGTTCATTAGTCTGAGGGCGTTTGGCAGGAGGGCGGCTCTGCTCTGTGTGTGACCTTCTTACCGTAGACGGGTGTTTTTCCGGGCAGGATGACGATGATGAGCTGCAGTCCAGAGTAGGTGTTCTTCAGGTGTCTGAACATGGGCTCCACGCTGTCGGCTCCCTGTGCGTACTTACAGAAACACGGCTGACCCTGGATCGGCATCCCAGCGTCCTTTGAGATCTTACGCAGCTGGTCGGTGAAACCCCTGTAGGGAGAAACACAATTCAGAAACTTATAAGCATGGAAAGTACTGCACAGGTGATTAGGGCTGCACGATTAGTCAAAATAAAATGGAAGCTGCAATATTGCTTACTGCGATGATCAATTTACAAAGGCTGCAATTTAATTAAATAAATATATGCACTGCGTGTTTCAGAGAGAAGCACAGTATTGTGCTCTTATCTCCCTGCGGTTTTGCATCAAAATAACGTTTGATGGTTTACTGTTTGAAAATTAGATTAGTATTGTAATTTTACAGTTGTAACATAAAACAATTAAATTAAAATAAAATTTATTATATTTTTCTGAATACTCATTTTTTATTTTACAGTGAAATATTTTTACTTATTTATTTAGTATACATTTGAATATTTTTTATTCAGTTATTTTATTATTATTTTCTATTATATTATTTTTCTTAAATACTCAACTTATTTATTGTACAGCGAAATATTACAGTAGTAACATTTCTCATTAGTTTTTTTAGTAAGCTTTAATATATATTTAGTATTTTACTTTTGTATAACGTGCAATACATTTTCATATTTTATTATTATATAATATCATAATATTATTATATTATTATTTTTCCTGAATTCGTGATTTATTTTACTGTGAAATATTACAATAGTAACATTTCTTATTTTTATTTAGTAATTTCTATTATATATTTACTATATTTTAAAATAATTGTATTTTTTTTATTATTATTATTTTTTACTCATTTTTATTTTACAGTGAAGTATTACAATAGTAACATTTCTTATTTTTGTTAAAATTTTTTGTTAAAAATTTTGCAAACCTGGATTTTTTGTTATTTTAAAATGCGGTATAAGAAATTGCAATTAGATTTTTTCCCCCCCAAATTATGATGCCCTGATACTTTTAAGCAGGACGTAAACCAGTACTGAAAGTCAGTATGGTGTGGAGTCTTACTTGAGAATCTCTTCTCTGCACTGTCTCTGCGTGGCGAAGCAGGCGATGGCCCACATCTTGATCTCCACGCCGGTGTGGAACTGTTTCCCTCTCATGTCCCAAACTCCATGGCTGGGTGTGGCCACAGTGCGGTTCTGTAACGACAGCTCAGGGTTGATCTGCTGCACGGGACGTGTGAGAGCACAAACACAGCTGACACTCAACACGAGCGGAACTCTTGAGGCTCCTCAGTGACTAAACTCAAAGAACTGTACAAGTACATTCCACAAAACAAGAACAGAGGCACTAATAACATTAAAATCATAATCCTAAACTAGCATAGTTACTAGATTTCTATATTTATTTAAAATCAAATAATCTGTGCTCACAATTACGTAAACATCAAATATTGTATATATTATATACACAACACATTTATACTCATTTTATATCATTATACATTAACACTTAAATAACACTTAAAAACAATATTTATAAGAATCGCTCAAAGTCATAAACTCCACCCAAAGATTTGTAGACTGTTTTAGAAATCTGTGCCTACTGAATTTAGTGCACAAGTTACTAAAATATTATAAAATTGTAAATTCTAATACATTACATTCGTAGCTCAGGAAAGGGTCACTAAAACTGTAAAAACTCCCATATGAAATTAGTATTAATAAAAAAAACGAATATTTGTACTACAGAGGTGGCACAGAAGAACACAAAAGTGGCTTGTAGGTACATTTTCAGACGTTCAATGAGGCTCATAGGTGGCATGAGTGCAATTAAATTCATAAATTCATGTGGAGATTAATGTTTTGAATATAAAATTTTGAATACAGAAATATTAAATGATTTAACTGAAATTATACCTAAAAATGAAATTGAAACCGCCAGCAAGTGGCGGCAAGTCACTGATTTTTATCACTGAATCATTCATTCAATTGATTAGTTTGAAAGGCTCATTCATTCAGGAATGAAGCAAGTGACTGTCTTTATGAATGGGTAATCATGAATCACTGACTCACTAGATTCGTTCAAAAACGCACTTTCATTGAATGAATTAAAC